TTAGGGCAGCTAACAACTATGTCTAACTCCTGTTCCAGGGGATCTGATGCCCTCTTCTGGCCTCCATGGGCACTGCATGTATGTGGTGCACATACATGCAGATAAAACACTCGTGCACATAAAAATAAATAAAATAAATATAAAATAACCTTTTCAAAAAGAAAAGAAAATAGAACATTAAACCATAGTAGGGCACAACACCTGTAATCTCACTATTTGTGGAGGCTGAGGCAGGAAGATCATGAGTTTGAGGCTTGCCTAGGCTCTTTCTGCAAAAAAGAAAGTTGGAGCTGGGCTTTGGGGCACACGCCTTTAATCCCAGCACTTGGGAGGCAGAGACAGGCGGATGTCTGTGAGTTCAAGGCTACCCTGGTCTACATAGTGCGTTCCAGGACAGCTGGGGCTACAGGGAGACCCTGTCTCAAAAAGACCAGAAAAAAGAAAAAAAAGGGGGCTTGAGAGATGGGTCAGGAGTTAAGAGCACTGACTGCTCTTGCAGGAGACTCAGATTTGGTTCCCAGCTCCCACATGGCCGCTAACAACCACCCATAACTCCAGTTTCAGGGGACCCAATGCCCTCTTCTGACCTCCGTGGGCATTGTACAACATGGGTGCACCTACCTACATGCAGGCAATACAGTCATATACATAAAATAAAAATAAATAAAATATTAAAAAAGAAAGCGTTGGGCATTGTGGTACACACCTGAAGTCCCAGCACTTGGGAAGTAGAGACAGGAAGATCAGGAGTTTGAGGCTAGCCTGTGCTAGATGAGATCTTAACTCTTGGAGGAAAAAAAAAAAAGTGGAGTTGGAGGAGGAAAGCCTCTGAGATGGCTCTGCAGATGAGGCACTTGTTACTTAAGACTGACAACCTGTTGGTCCCCAGAAGAAATGGTGAAAAAATGGACTATTGAATGTTGTCCTCTGACCTGCATTACATGTGCTATGTCCCTCACATGCATACATCATACACATGCCCTAGAGGAAGGGGGATCTCTGTGAGGTCAGCCTGGTGTGCATAGTGAGTTCAGGGCAGCTGGGGCTACAGGGAGACCCTGTCTCAAAAAAAAAAAAAAGATCAATACAAAAATTTTAAAAGAACCCCCCCCAAAAGAAAAGCAGCAGAAAAGAAAGGAAAGAATGGAGGGAAGGAAGTAAGGAAAGAAGGAAGAAAACAATGTTGTTTGGTGTGGTAGCCACTTGGGTGACTGAGGCAGGAGGATCACTTGAGTCTAGAGTTCAGAGTCAGCCTGGGAAGCATAGCAAAAAATTGTCTCTTAAAAAGTCACACAGACAAACAAACAAATAATCCCAGCAGGGAGCTGGGGGCTTATGTAGCTCACTATCCATTTATTGTAGTAGTGTGCGTGGCAGATCTTGAGTTTAACCTCCAGCACCCCCCCAAAAAAAACAACAAAAAAGAAATTCCAAATAATATTCCATGTAATAAGTATCATTAGGTCTTCTTCAACAGTTCATTCAGACCTGTGTGATTCTTTTTCTTTTTCACCTTGATGTTGTGTCAGGAGTTTGCTTTGTTGAAGAACATCTGCTTCCAGATTGAAAACGCTCCTGGAAGGCCTACCTTAGTTCGCTAATATAGCCTAACAGTTTTTAGGTGATGCCAGTTCAGAAATTTGGTTTTTTTTTTTTCTTTCCTTTTCTTTTGGGTCTTTTTGAGACAGGTCTCCCTGTAGCCCCAGCTGGCCTGGAACTCACTATGTAGACCAGACTGGCCTTGAACTCTCAGAGATCTTCCAGCCTCAGCCCCCCAAGTGCTGGGACTACAGGCGTGCGCCACCACTCCCTGCCCAGTTCAGAAGTTTTTAATCCAGAAGTCTCTTCCCATTTTTTGAGACAGTGCCTCATATAGCCCAGACTGGCTTTGAAATTTGCTCTCCTTAACTCCTGATCTTCCTGCCTCCTCCTCCTAATTACTGGGATTACAGGCATTTGCCACCATGTCTGGTAAAATGGTTTTTTTTTTTTTTTTTTAAACAGTCTCCTCCCTATATCCCTAGCTGGCCTGGAACTTACTACGTAGATGAGGCTAACCTCCATCTCACAGAGATCCCGCCTCTGCCTCTTGAGACCTGAGATTAAAGTCATGTGCCACCATGCCTGGTTCAAAGTCTATTTTTTAATTATTATTTTTCATTTCAATTCTGGGAATTGACTTAAAGCCTTTATACATGCTAGGCAAGTGTTCTACCACCGAGCTATATTCTCAGCCCAGAAGTCTGCTTTTAAAAAAAAATTATTTTTATTTTAAATGTATGTGTGTATTGCCTGCATGTAGGTAAGTACACCCGTGTCATCAGTGTCCTCAGACAGAAGAGGCTGTCGGATCCCCTGGATGTGGATTTACAGACAGTTGTTAGCTGCCATGTGGGTGCTAGGATTTGAAACTGGGTCTTCTGCAAGGACAACCAGTGTTTTTAACCACTGAGCCATCTCTCCAGCCCCAGAAGTCTGCTTTTTAATTTAATTTATTTTTATTTATGTGTATGTGTGCCTGTATGAGTTTATGTGCAGGTGCCTTCGAAAGCCAGAGGGCATCAGATCCCCTGGAGCTAGAGTTACAGGTAGTTGTGAGCCACCTATGGGAACTCCCCAAATTCTATTTTTTGGGGGCCATCTTTTTGAGACAGGGTCTCCCTGCAGCCCCAGCTGACCTGGAACTCACTATATAGACCAGGTTGGCCTTGCTCTCACTGAGATTTGCCTGCCTTTGCCCAGAAGTCTACTTTTTGAAGTGTTAAAATTCAGATTTCTTTTTGTGAGGCTCTGAAACTCTCTTTGTTGAAGACATAGATATTAGTATGTAAAGTTTGTGCCAGAGCCTTTAGGCAAGCATCAGATACTACACAAACTGCCTGAAGATGACAAAGACTAAATGGCTATGTTTAATTATCATGTTGACTACAAGAATAGAAGATTGTAGGATTCCTTATAAGCACTTCAGGAGTTCAATCAATGTTTATTCTGAGTGCCTCAATATTTAGGTTATGTTGGTGTGAGTATGTTCTACTATGGTCAGGGAGTGAACAAACTCTAGACAGGTTTACTGGTACTTTCTGGACTTCTTATCCCCAAATTGAAGGATTAGGCAGTTCTTTATGTTTTGCTGAGTGTTTGATTTTCTCTTTTGTTATATTTGAAAGGATTTATCTTTTGCTTCTGTGCTGGGACTGGACTGCCTAAAATACTTGTTTTTAAAATAAACTTGATCTTTTAACTAAACCAGAAATACAGCTATTTCACAAGTGTCTTAGTATAATGTTCCTTTCCCATGACTTTTTAAGATTTACTTTTCATATTTACAAATAGAAATTTAAGAAATATTTATAAAAAACAGTCATTTTTTAAGTTTTTTCTTCCTCCTTGTTCATAGTGACCTCATTGTGTCTTAAGGGAAAGTCCCTATTAGTTAAAATGATGTTTCTCTTAATGTGCTTTAGAAACGAAACAGTTTGTTAGAGTTTGTTATGGCTCAATGTTGGTTTAGAGCTGATACTCCTTTGATTTTTTTAAAAAAGTGTTTTAATTTCTAAGAGTATATGTAAACGCAGAAGTTCATCTGAAACTGTTTGAAGAAACAGATGACATTCCTGTTTGTCAGAAGACCTCCCTAGGAAATACTGTCTTCTTTTCTTCTGTTGCCATTTAAGTTTATTGACATTTAAATGATAACCATAAAAATTCGGTCAGAAGATTTATGTTTATGTTCTGACTCTTCTAATTTGTGTTAATTCTGAGTTCCAGGGTTATTTGCATAATAAGCATGATAAAAAAATTTTATGAGTTGTCACCGCTGTCTAGATGGAAGTCAGCTCATAAGGCGCACATATTCCATGACCCTTGTTACTGAAAAGATTTCTATTCCTTTCTTGAAAATGCCTGTTCTTAAATCACAGGCCTAGAATACAGAGGACTGGTAGTAAGTTTGTTTGGTCTTCTTGACAGCTTACTATGTCTGTTTTCAGGTTGATAGAGGCAACACTGGAAGGGTGTTGGCATCAGATGCTGCAGTGTTCCTGAAGAAATCAGGACTTCCAGACTTGATTCTTGGAAAGGTAGTGTGTGTTTATTGTAACTAGATCATAATGAATATGTAGAAGCATTGGGGAACTGCATACAAATTCAGAAAGATAGCATCAAAAAGCTAGCAAGTTAGAACTGAGTCATAGAAGCAGTTACAGTAACAGCATGGTGGGGTATTTGTGTGATTCACCCTCTTGAAAGTCGAGCATTTTAGAAACAAACTACTTTTGACTAGGATGAAAGGAGAAAGGAATGGTACATTTGGGCGTTGTGGGGAGGTACAGTGTGGAGTGGGAGCCTTGCCACCCACTCGAACAGCTGGACCTATCCCTGCCTTCTTTATGTCATTATCTATGTTTAGTGTCTGATGAGTAGAGTGAGGGAAAGAACATGGAAGAAGGAAGCCCCTCTCTTGCTAAATTCTTACACGTGATACTGATGTATAGTAAAAATCTTGATAATTTAATAATTCACAGATAACCATTAGCCCCCTCAACTTACCCATAGGAAAGAATTGCATCTTAAAATTAATTTTAATTTTTTTTGGTGGGGGTCTTTTTGAGACACGGTCTCCTTGTAGCCCCAGCTGGCCTGGGTTCACTGTGGAGACCAGGCTGGCCTCAAACTCACAGAGATCTGTCTGCCTCTTCCTCCTGAGTGCTGGGACTAAAGGTATGTGCCACCACGCCCAGCTTATTTTAATTTTTTTAAATGTGTATGAGTGTTTTGCCTGCACATATGTAAGTGTACCCATGCATGCAATGCTTGCAGGGGTCAGAAGAGTGTGTTGAATCCCCTGGAACTGGAGTTACAGATGATTGTTAACTACTTACTGTGTGGGTACTGGGAACTGAACCTGCGTCCTTTGCAGGAGCAGCCAAGCTCTCCAGCCCCAAGAATTGCATCTTTTTTTTTTAAAATTTTATTTATTATTTTTATTTTATGTGTATGTGTGTATTGCCTGCATGTAGGTAAGTGCACCTGTGTCGTGCAATGCCTGCAGAGGTCAGAAGAGGCTGTCGGATTCCCTGGGACTGGAGTTACAGAGCAGTTGTTAGCTGCCACGTGGGTGCTGGGATTTGAACCTGGGTCTTCTGCAAGGACAACCAGTGTTCTTAACTGCTGAACCATCTCTCCAGCCCCAAGAATTGCATCTTAATAAGGATCTAAAAATCAAAAGTAGTGTGTTTTAGTAGATAGCATTTGACTCAGAGTTAAACTCTGGATTAGTGAAAAGGGCATTTGACTAGAAGTTAGAACTTGAGTTTCATTTCTTTCCCAGATTCCTTGAATATTTTTTGAGCCAAATCTCTTAGCCTGATTAGGCCTCAGTGTCTTTGTGAAGAGTTGCACTGAATAATTTCCCATGATTCTTCCTGTTTTTAATTTCATAATTCTCAGATCTGTTTACAGAGTATGGAAGTTATAAATTGTTGGGATTATGATTTCTGTTAAAATAATAGATTTTTCTTTTTCTCCTAAATTTCAGATTTGGGATTTATCTGACACGGATGGCAAAGGTATCCTGAACAAACAAGTAAGATTCAGATTGGTTGATGATTTTTTTTTTTTAATTTTGGCTAATTTGAAATTTTAAAAGTAGCAGGTTTTTAAGCTAAGGATTAGTTTTTCAAGACTATACGTCTTAACATTGAAAGTATTTGTAACCTCTAAACATTAAACTATCTAATTCTTAAAGTTTGGTGACATTGTTCCCTGAGGTTTATTTATATCTATGTATATTTATTCTTTAGAGAGACATTTCTCTTTTGTTTCCTACTAATTAGATTTCTTGGGTAAGCAAGTTTATAAATGAATACTAGTTTTATAAGTAAGTGTTAAGGTAGATAAGCCCAGGACTTTTGAAAGGAATCTCTGGGCCAGTCAATCCTGAATTCTTGTGTAGGTCTTACCTCTTACATGTAAACCAAAAATGGATGAAAGTAAACTCTAATGTATAAATATATAAAGTGGTTATAGCCAAAGGTGTTCAATACCAACTGTATACTTTAATGTTCAACTTTTGAAAGTTTGCTAGGTACTGATATTTTTCCTTAGTACTTCTGTGTAAAGCTAATTTTCCTCCATGGGCATAGTTTTTTAAAACTATTTTTTGTCGGACATGGCAACATAAGCCTTTAATCCCAGCAGAGGCAGAGGCCGGTGGATCTCTGTGAGTTCAAGGCCAGCTTGGTCTACGTAGAGAGTTCCAGGCCAGCTGGGGCTACAGAAAAGACCCCCCCCAAAAAAATTATGCATATGAATGTATTGCCTGCATGTATGTAAATGCATCTGTGTGTAAATGCCTGTGGAGGTCAGAAGAGGGCACTGGAACTAGAGTTAGGACAGTTGTCAGCTGCCATGTGGGTGCTGGAAAATGAACCTAGGTCCTCTGCAAGAGCAACCAGTGCTTTTACTGCTGAGCCATCTCTCCAGCCCCTACCATGGGCATAGTTGAAGCAAGTCAAACCAAGAAAAGGGATGAGAGTAATAATTAGATAATAATGTTAGAATACCCAGTCTCTTAATTAGGATTTCAGGGCTAGATTGTAGTAGCCCTCATTGTAGCTTCTGTGTAGAAGGGCCACTTGAGGGACATATAGGCGCTCAGATATGGTCCACTCAATCAGCGAATATTTGTTAAGAGGCAGGTTTAGAAGTACACAGGTGAGGGGCTGGAGAGATGGCTTAGTGGTTAAGAGCACTGACTGTTCTTGCAGAGGACCCGGGTTCGATTCCCAGCACCCAATTGGTGACTACGAACCGTCCTTAACTCCTGTTCCAGGGGAATCCAAAGCCCTCTTCTGATCTCCACGGCAATGCACAACATGGGTGCATACACATAAAATAAAAATAGTAAATAAAATATTTTTAAAAAAGAAGCACACAGAGTGAGTATGACAAATGCAGCCCCTCTCAGGGATGTAGGTATAATAACGTCACTGGAAGCCTCGGACGGTGGCTGAGTTTGAGTTGTCTTCGTTTTATCTACGTCACTTATGGGTCTGCTTTCCAAGTTTGAGTTTACACTGAAGGCACAGTGTTTTGCTTTGGTTTTTTTTTTCGGGGGGTTGTTGTTTAAACTTTGCATTTCTTTATTTTACTGTGTATGAGTGTATTGCCTGGATGTATGTAAGTGCACCTATATCGTGCAGTGCCTGTGGAGGCCAGAAGAGACCATCAGATCCCCTGGAACTGGAGTTACAGTTCTTAGACACCATGTGTGTGCTGGGATTCGAACCCTGGTCCTCTGCAAGAACAGCCAGTGCTCTTAATCACTGAGCCATCTCTCCAGCCTTGATTATTTGTTTTTGAGAAAGATTTGTGTTGTCTCATGATTACAGAGGTTTCAGCCCACAGTCATTTGACTCCATTGTTTGAGTCTTGGTGAAGCGGAACATCATAGCAGGAAGGCACAGGGAATGAAAGCTTGCTCATCTCATTGCTGCTCAGAAGGAGAAAGAGGAAAGTAAGGGCTAGAGTCACAATCTCCCCTTTAAAGTCATGCCCCAATGACCTACAAGGCCCTACTTTCTAAAGTTTCTACCACCTCCCAGTAGCACCATCAGCTAGGGATAGGGATCAAGCCTTTATTTAGCATATGAGCTTGGTGTCTGTGAGTGTTGGGGGGGCATATTTAATATTCAAACTATAACAAAAGGCATACTTTAAAAAATGTGTATATGGAGTGTGTATGGGTGTGGGGTGTGTGTGTGTTAGTACAGGCCCTTATGTGCCCATGGTGCAGGTGGAGGTCAGAGGACAACCCCAGGTGTCAGACTTTCCTTTCTACCTTGTTTGAAGCAGGATTTCTTTGTTGTTTTTCTGCTGTATATGCCAGACTAGCTGGTCCAGGGATTTTTGGGAGTTTTCCTTTCTCTACCTCCCGTCTAGACCTAGGCATGCTAGGATGACAAGTGTGCATTACTACATACAGCTTTATATGATCTGAACTCAAGTTCTCACTCTCGTATGCCAAGTGCTTTAATTCACTGAGCCATCTTCCCAGCCCAAAAGCATGCTATTTGAATTATCATATGAAAGAAAAGGAACCAATACTGAGTGTCTGTGTGCCAAAAATGATGTTGATGCATTCCTTCTGTAATAATAGTTTTTATTTCATTGCTCTTAATACATTGCACGGTACGTAGTATTAGACTGGCCCCTTTTTAGCAAAGAATTTTATTTAAATTTCTTATGGTATCACAACTTTAAGTAGCAAAGCTAGAATGTAATGGAGAATTATTTTACTTCAGAGGCCGTTTAGACTGTGGGAATGGACCTGATTATTTAAGAGTAATTGAGTTTCACATAGAGTAAACAAAGTAAGGATTTAGTGGATACTTAGCACTTAAAGGTTAGTGGAGGCATTGACTCCAGCAGAAGAGACATGAGAGGTCCCAGGAATAGCAGGAATGCTTTATGATGCTGTGTAGATGGAGAAGAGCTTTGAGAGCATCATACTTGCCTGGGCTACTGAGAGTGAGGAGGATGAAGCTTTTTTTAAAAGAGGCTGGCAAATTTGGTAGCTAGGAGGTGGTTTGTGATATGGGCAGTAGTTTCTCAGCTAATTGTGGGAGTTGAAGTCTGAATACAAGAAGCTTCTTAGGTAAATGAGAAGAAAAATGAGTATCTGTGTTTGTATGTGAGTGTATATGTTACTAGAGATCAAACCAAGGGCCTCATGCATTCAGGACAAGTATTCTACAACTGAGTTACATCCCTGGCTCCAAGGGGAGTCTCTTAAAAAATTTTTTTTCAAGAAATTTATTAGTGAAGGCAAGTATTGAATAATGCAGATAGCTTGCAAGTTCATGAATGAAGAGTAGAGGTGAGGCTGTGGGGTGGCTAGGAAGTAGCCAAAGGCTGGGTCAGCAGCTGGCCTAGGGTTTTGGAGAACTGCAGAAGTTATTACTGGAATAAAACACTTCTGCAGTCAAATGCTCTACCATTGAGCTATACCCCATAAAATACTTTTGTTGTGTCTATTTTCAGACCTATCTCTACTCTAACTCATAATAACTGAAAACCAGTACACTCAGCTTCTTTGCATTTATTTATTTATATTTATTTATTTATTTATTTCTGTTTTATTTAGACAAGGATCTTTAGGGAAGATTCATAAATCTTTTAAAGTCAAGCAGTTAAAATCAACAAAAAAATAACTGCCCAGTTATTTTCTGTACCTCCTCTGGAATTCTGGAATAGTAGCGATTGACTCTTGAATTACAGATCCAATTTCAAGGTTATAATTGCCTATTCCAGATATAATTTTTCTTTTCTTTTCTTTTCTTTTCTTTTCTTTTTTTTTTTTTTTGAGATGGGATCCTTCTGTAGCCCCAGCTGGTCTGGAACTCACTATGGAAATCCTACTGACCTCAGTTTCACAGAGATCCACCTGCCTTTGCCTCCCAAGTGCTGGGACTAAAGGTGTGTGCTACTGTGCCTGGTGGGAGATGGTTTTTGATGACATTTAGTTATTACTTAATTCTACTCCTCCCCCAATTCCTTTCTGTCAGTTAATAAACATTTTTAAGGTCATTGAATTTTCTTCAAAATACGAGTATTAATTCTGAACATTTTCCACTTTCATGTACCACTTACATGTGTCATAGTTTATTTAAATACTTTTTCATTTATATTGTTTTAGGAAAATCTTTGTATATATCTTCCTTTTTTCAGTTTTAAAATGAATGTTTTTGAAATAGATGTGCTTTTGTATTTGTTGCTACGTAAAACCATGGAGTAACTGTGATTCATTTCATATTTTCTGATTATAAAGTAGGTGTGATAGCAAGGTAGACTGAGAGAGCTCTCACCATTCCTGTTTTTCCTCCTCAGGAGTTCTTTGTTGCTTTGCGGCTTGTGGCATGTGCCCAGAATGGATTGGAGGTTTCACTGAATAGCCTGAACCTGGCTGTTCCTCCACCAAGATTTGTAAGAAATGCTTTTATGTGTAAATTTTATTTTATCAGTGGATAAAAGGGCTTCAGATCCCCAGCACTCGTATAAAAAGCCAGGCTGGCATAGTGGCCCACCTGTAATCCCTTAACTCGGGAATGATCCAGAGAATTCCTCAGGGCATGCTGGGTAGTGAGACTAGCGGAATCAGTGAATTCTGAGTCCAGCAAGAGACCTTGTATCAGTAACCCAAGTGGAGAGTAAGACACCTGAAGTCAACTTCTGGCCTCCACAAGCATGTGCATGTGTATGTACATGCATCTGCACATATGTGTGCTCACATACATGTGAATACATACACACATGGACATGACATACATACAAAAAAGTTATAACACATGTTTGAAATAAAAAGTCACATTCATATTTTTGCTTCCTCGAACCCTTACCCTAATTTACCTGGTGTTCTTAGTAACCACTGTCAGCTTCATGTGTGTCTTTTAGAGTTACATGTGTATATTAAAAAATGAAAAATAGGTATCTCTTAATTTTCTAATGGTAGCATCCTGTGTAGTTGATTCAGTACCTTTTAAAAATAATATGTTTAGCTGGACCTTTAATCCTAGCACTCAGGAGGCAGACCCAGGCAGATCTCTGTGATTTCCAGGCTAGCTAGCTGGGGTTACAGGGAGACCTTGTCTCAAAAAATACAAAAAGTTTTTTTTTATGTAACATACAAACATCCATCTCTTAAACACACATACACACACACACACACACACACACACACACTTCCTTTTTTTTTTTTGATACGGTCTCCGTATAGCCCCAGCTGGCCTTGAACTCACATAGATCTGCCTGCCTCTGCCTTCCGAGTGCCGGGATTAAAAGCATGTACCACCACACCTGGTTATAAAAATTTCTTTAATGATTGTATAGTATTTCTTTGCCTATATTTAACATAAGTTCCAATTGATAGGCATATAATTTTCTAATTTTTTAAGGAAAAAATACTGCAACTTTTTTATATGCTCTTTTCCACATGCAGGAATATTATTGTAAATTATCAAAATTAGAATTGTTCTAAAAGTTTTGAGTGTGCAGCTGTCCACAGCTAGCAGCTGATTGAAATGCTTGCTTTGTCACGTTTTGACCTGCATACCCTTGTCAAACTTTTAGATCCTTGTCAACCTGGTTGGTGACAAATGGTATATAAGTGTATTTTAGTTTTTTTCTTTTTGATTTTAGGAGTGAGATTGATTAGTTTTTCTTATGATGATGAGTAGTTTACATTTCGTTTATGGGAATGGCTAATTGTAGCCAGTGACTATATTTCTTTGTCTAAATTACTTGCAAATATATTCTTCCAGTTTGTCATTTGTCTGTTACCTTTGGTTATGTTTTTTTACCCCCCTTTTTAAAAAAAATTTTATTATTTTTATTTCATGTGCATGCATGTATGTAGGTAAGTGCACCCCTGTCATGGCACCCCTGTCATGCAATGCCTGCAGAGGTCAGAAGAGGCTGTCGGATCCCCTGGGACTGGAATTATGGATAGTTGTTAGCTGCCATGTGGGTGCTGGGTTTTGAACCCTGGTCTTCTGCAAGAACAACCAGTGTTCTTAACTGCTGAGCCATCTCTCCAGCCCCATATCCCCTTGTTTTTATGTAAACAAATTGCCAAGCTGAAATTTATTTTTTCTTTTTCCATAATTTTCAGTCCTGATGGAGATATATGGATTTAAATTAATTTTTTCATGATGGCTACCTTATGGACTTAATGTAATGTGTTGAATGAGCCTTTTCCATACCAGTTTCAAATGCCACCTCAGTAGCCGGACGTGGTTGCAAATGCCTTTAATCCCAGCACTGGGGAGGCAGAGGCAGGCAGATCTCTGTGAATTCAAGGCCAGCCTGGTCTATGTAGTGAGTTCCAGGGCAGCTGGGGCTACAGGGAGACCCTGTCTCAAAAAGAC